ACTGGTCACAACCACGAACTCCTTCTCCATTTAGACCTGGGTAAAATCTTCATCTCCATTAGGAGAACCATAGTTTCACACAAGAAGGTCGCCAAAATGTTAACCCCCACACTGTTACTATGGCCTTCTTTTGTCTTTTCTTTCATCGAGTGTGACTAGTAACGACAACTAGCGGGCCGGTTCTCCGCGCTCGGTGGTGACCTAACCTAGGGGAACCTGACCGCTATATCATCTTCTTGCTCATGGCTACATATAAAGGACAAAGTCTTCGTCGCTGATCGAATCCTTTTTAGGATGTGTCACGCATCTACTTCCATTCAGAATCGCAACGGCCTATTGAATGCCACGGACCCATACAATGGCTTGTGGGCTCGCCGATGTACAGGTCAGTGTCTCAATCCTCCCAGAAGATCTAGTACCTTCCGCGAGGGTAGAAAGCTTGTTGGCGTGGACGGGAGCCGATCCGGGTTTTGATCCCTGGGTAAGCGCGCCATGCCTTGATGGAATCTGTGCGGATGGAGTAAATTAGAAAAAATGATCACTTACGCTTGGGTGTTTCTAGTTCACAATCCGTAGGGTTGCGACTGGATTGCTCATTTGCTTTTTGTGCATCTCGCCGACCATCCAACTGCGCAATTATGCAATCCTCGCACATTGAGTGCAAACAATCCAGGACACGTGGCTGAAGATGAGTATTAAGAATAGTAAAACTTTTTGAACCTTGTAAATTAACATCTACCTTTCTGAAATCTTTATGACAGTATGGACAATGTGACTGATCATCAAGTGGTAGCGGTTCTGTATTCAATAACGGACTGGAAGTGTTCGATCTGAAATGCAAAATGAAGCTTACTTCTAAAAAACACGCAACACGGAAACTCTCAGATCACAGCAAGATGCGAACAGTCTCACCTGAAGGCATCACTCTCACGGCTTCGGTCGAGACTTGGTGGACTTACAGATTTGTCGAACTCATGGCTACTCGGCGGTGAGTCTAGACGACCATTCTGGTCACCCATAGTGAACTCTGAGCCGACTATAAATGACAGTTGCACTTCCAGCGAAAGGAATGAAAAACGAGTGTCACTAGCCGAAAGCCGAGAAACGAAGACCTACGTAGCCAATTTAGTAACACTATACGAACTTTCGATATTATCAGTTTTATCAAAGGCGTGATTAATCAAAGACTAATGCAAATAATTCAATTACGAAAGACTATTCTGCAGAACCAATTCTATTAGGATGTACAACTTGAAACTGGCAGCGATCGGTGTCAGGAACCAAGATGTTGGACGCAAGAAGCGCAAAAAAAGACATCTGACAGTCTTACGCGCTCTGCGCTATTCCATCACACTTGGGCAGTAACGAAGGTGCAAGTGAGCTGGGGAAGGAGAGTGGGACAGGCAAATGATCCGTTGCGGAATTCAGCACGGAAAAGATCGTTCTCTTTTGCTGCTATGAAGGGGTCGTGTTTGGGCTTTTTCTTTCGGACTGCTGATTTTTTTCCGTTTAAAGAAAACTTATAGTCTTCCCCTCAACGGCATTCAAATTTTCGTATCGCCGTAGGTAGATTGAGAAGGAAGGGAGGATTAGGAACATTTTGCACAACGAGGTGCTCTCGAGAGGATTGTGCGAGACTGGGAATCCCGAACTGGAAAATAGTACCTTTGTCGGAGAAGGCGCTCCTGGGCATTGCTTCGACACTCTGTGAAACTCTGAAATCTACTCTGCTGTGAAAGGCTTTATCATAAGAAAGTATGGTAGGCACAGATTTCCTCGAATATCCCTATCAGCCGACGGGCACCGAACCCAGAAATCGCATAGGGGAAATAGCAAGGATGTCACAAAGAAGTACGAAGGTTGCTCACGTTATTTTCTCGGTATCGGGGTAATTTTTACCATTAACGAAGGGATCAATACAGCTTCAGCAAGGTAAACGGGACGCTTCCTGAAGGGCATAAATACCAAATTTCAGTTATCATCAAATGCTATTCTAGTTTTCCTTAGTCCAGAATGACTGATGCGAAGATGTTGAAAAAATGATCACTGATTTAAAAATTGAGAAAAATGAAAAGGCAATTGAGAAATTGATAAAAAAAATAGAGAAAATGACAAGTGATTATTTCTTGTTCCCCAAGCTAAGAAAGAAGATCCTTGCGGAAAGCGGTTTCTGACGATGTAGAGCTGAAGGCGACAATTAACGCACATTTTAGGGACAAGGAAGAAAATATTGTTTAGAGGGTATTGCAAAGTCAGTTTCCCGAGCAAACAAGTGTATTAAGGTTAAGGGGCACTATATTAAAAAATTATCATTAATCCTCTGTCTTGCCCTTTATACTATACCGAGAATACATTGAACATGCCTCGTACATATGAGCCAAACATCAGAGTGAATCATGCTGAGGTTCTGGGTAAATACACGGAACTTCAAACTGTTTCGAAACACCTGGGCGAAAAAGGTCAGGTTAGGTCGAATTAAATTTCAATCAATAATCCTGAAAAGATATCTTCAGAAATTAAAGTGATGTACAAAGACTTCCATATCAACATAAAAAGGGCCACACTTTGGAACAGGAAGAAGAACCGCACTTCACTGGAATGATATACGTCAAAAAGGCGTGGCGCGCAAGGGTGAGCAAATGGCAGAATTGTTCAACTCCTCGGTGCAAATATGTAGAATTAAAGTTTCCTTCATATAAACCTCCATAACTTCACCGTCATTTAACAAAGGACCAATGTGGAAAATATATATTCAAAGCCTAAACTTTATGCATTAAATAAATATCTTCTTTGAATAAACCATTTCTTTTTCATTCTTTAAGAAATTATCAAGGAAATAACTAGATTCAAGAATTCAAGGTATAATTGCCATATAAAGTGGTTCAGACGGCAAGGTGGTGAAAATAAGCGGAATAAAGACATCTATAACTTCTAAGATCTCAAACTACAGAAACCCTAAATTATTAAACTACTGCGGCTAACAGGATTCTGGCAAATTACTCCGTGGTCGATTTGTTCCGAAAAAACAACGAATTAGCAATTCTGCTCCTTCCTCGTTTCATATGAAACTGAAATTGATCAACCGCCCATAAGAAAACCAAGCCCACCGTGATCTGAACGGCAACCCAATGAATGCGCTGAGGTTGAAGTTCAGTACAGAATTCACCACTTAAGAGCATCTTGCAGATGCCGGAAAAAGATATACAATAAAGTTGCACAGTATAAGAACAAATTAAGGAATTAAAACCCAAAAAGGTAAAAGGATTTCGAGAGACAACCAGAGTTTAAGCATAGTCATGCTGCTTCCATTGTTTGCAACAACCAAACTACCACGTGAGTCAGCTTCAAGAAATATGGCGTGGTAAAAGCAATGTGTAATAGTGACTGAATCAATGGTAGACGGGCCGGGATCGCGCATTTTTCGATGATATCAATGACCTTGTCACCAGCCGGCAAATAGCAGACCCCTATGACGATAAGTGCCCAGCAAAATTAATATTGAAGGAATTTTACATAACAACCTTGGCTTTCAGACAGCTTATTTCACAACAGCAACATAAACAACGAACAAAATTCGATAACAAGCTACGGTGCAGCCGAAAAGTCGACGCAAACGACAAAAGGACTCGTGACGTCACTAGCACATGCCACCCGCGACGAGCAGCGAAATCACGGCCACGCCCCACCGAAATGCATCCACTGCGCGATACTCAGTTAACAAAATTGTCGGTCCCGCATGGAAGATGCAGTTTTATTGGCAACTTGCCCAGTGGTCCTGATTTTCGAATATTAGTCGTGTTGTGTGCGTTACAATCGAAAATAGGTGGCAGTAGTCTGATCCCGCTGTTCTCTGGGCTAAAGTACGCCATTTAAAAAGACTGTTGCGAAATACGGGGTTTCACCTTTCCTAAAGCATTAGTTATTACTATGGAGATGATGGTTGGACAAAAACATGCGCCGTCATTTCTGGTAGAGGGGCCGCTTGCATTCTGTCGTTTGTCTCAGCAGATTAAGGAAAATAAATTGCTGAAAACAATGAAAATACTTTATTTCCTGGAGTACCGGGCGCATTCCGCGGAGTCGCACGCGGCACCGCGTGTGAAAAATGGTAGATACAACAGCAGTTAATACTGCCTTCTTTGCATAGTAGTCTTCTGTGTGGTTTTCAAATACCTCTTATTAAATACGGATCATTAATACGGGTGAGAGTAAAACACGCAAATCGAAGGTGAGGAAGAAAAAGTCCGGCTATCGTTCGAACGAAGATGCACCCTTCGCACCGATGTGGGTGCGCCATTGTAACTCCAGAGAATAGAGCAAACGATCCTGCCCACCCCCCCCCCGCGTTCTTACTAAAAATCCGGTTTTTTAAAACCCTTCTAGCTGAATTGTCTTTTCTGTTCTTATCAGAAATCTTCGCCAGTATAAGGAACGCAGTCCAACATAATTCTTTTAGGTGCAATACCGCGCGTGCACCACGTTACGGTAATAACCTAATTTTGTAAGTATCGAAATGTTTCAGAACTGCAAAAGGCATTCGTTTCTGAGATATCTCTTCGAATCTGTTCTGAAGTTAGACGGCATTTTACACGGCTAAGGTACAGGCAGTCAATGATTAAAAATCGGGAAATGAGACTTTCTGCTTTAGTATCTGAAGTAGAGATGGAGCTACTCCCCACACGGGCTGAACAATTTTTGCAGAAGAGCATTTTCTTAGTGAAGTGGAAGTAACACGAGCGCCAATTTCGCGCCGCAACCGAGGGGGCGCATTTTGCATATCAGCTGCTTCACTACTTCGGATTTTAACAAAACCTCACGGTGAAAATTGTGAACTGAAGCTGGAGCAAGCTCGTCTAGCCATATGGTAAACAGTGAACTCAACCGCCACACTGCTCTCATCCCTACCCGACTCGTCCACACCACCTTTATGAAGCAAAATGCTGCTCACCCCCCCCCCCACCAGATAATAGTGACGCGCCGAACTGCGCCGTAGCTGAGTGTCGCTTCCCTGAGGTTGGTGGCTAAGGCAGCGTCCATATACTGTAGTTCGCTGCGGACGGTGGGGCGTGTCCTGTGCGGGCGGCGTTACGTGGCTGCCCCCCAACTCGTTCTCCACCTTGTTGTTGCAGCGAGGCAAGTGAAAATATCTAGTAATCATATAATTCGTAATACTCGTTTCTATCCAGTTTATGTCGCAATGACATTTGTCAACAAGTGTATTGCGACAAAAAATGGCATGCAAAGAAGGGCCTGAAAGTGTGAACGCTCATACTGGCTGACACGCCCAACTGTCCGCAGCGAACTAGAGTGTACTTCGCGACAGCAGCGGTGATCGCCGAGGTCGCCGCATCGTGCCGTCTGCTAGTCGCGGTAGTATTAACTAGGATAAATCAAAATCCTATTGCGAAACTGGTAGGACATTGTCAGTTCTTGAGAGCTTAAGAAACTTCATCATATATAAAATATAGCCTCGTACTCGCGCAAAAACTTAAGTTCCCAAAGCCCTACCGGCATCTTTCAGCTTTACTAATCTCTCAGTGGAACTTTAACTTCCGCAAACGTTAACACCAAACTCTAAAATAAAGAATTGTGTCGTGATTTGTCGAAGGTGACGGAAGTAAAGAAGTCGCCCGCGTCGACGACCAGCGAAGGTCAGTCGCCTCCGCACCGATGTGGGTGGCGCTCTTGTATGAGAAATACGAGCAATGCGATCCTTGCTCACTGGTTTTTTACGAAAAAAATTCCGTTTTTAAACACGCTTTCTACGCGGAAAATTGTCTTCTGTTTCTTCAGAAATTCCGCCAGTAATAGAAACGCAGTGGCAACATGTTTCTTTTGAGGTGCAATAGCGCGGCCCAGATTACCGGTAATCCAAATTTTGTCAGTAGCCGAAATGTTTCAGAGCTGCAAAAGGCAATTCGTTTCCTGAGATAATTTCTTCAATCTCTTCTTGAGTTAGAACGCGCCAATTTTACACGGTATAGGTACCGGGTAGAATGACTTAAAATCCGGAAATGACGCCTTTTCTGCCTTAGATCTGAGATAGAGGACGGAGCTCCCGACGTGCTCAAACGCAATTTTTTGTTGGCAAAAGACGCATTTTCGTATTTTGGAAGCTAGCGCCGAGGCGCAGTTGCGGCGACGGGGGCGATTATTGCATATTCACTAGCGTCCATCTACTGGATCAAGTTATAAAAAATCTCCAACTCTGTGAAAACTCTGTGAACTCATCTGGGACCAGCGGCCCTGGAGGCAAGCCTCGTCTAGCCGCCTGATATACACTCGTGTGTACTCAAAGATAATGTACTAATGGCTCCGAAACCATTTGATGGAGGGCAAGCAAAAATGCTCCCGCGCCCCCCTCCACAGCGCGCCCGAACTGAGGCGTAGCCGCGGTGATCGCCTCGCCTGAGAGTTGGGTGCTAAGGCAAGCGTGTCATACTTGCGACAGCAACCGGCGATGCGGCCGAGGTCGCCGTCCGCCAGTTCTGCGTAGTCGGAAGTATGAAACCGCCCTGCTAAAACATCACCCCTTATATGCAGAAACACTGGAGTAGCGGGCCTTTATGCTTAGGCTGTAAGCGAAAACCTTCATTCTATACTTCAAATAAGCAACTCGTACTTGAAAATTAGTTCCCGCAAATGTCCCTACGCACTCTTTAAGCTTACGCCCTTTTCAATGAACTTTGAAACTCGCGCCAACTCTTAACACAACTCTAAAATGAAAGGAATTGTGTCGTGATTTTGAACGCCTGAACTGCTCGCACATTTTATTGATACAACGGGGCATTTCAGTGCCCTCAGTATTGGTACAACTTTTATGAACCGAGGGGAGGAAAGGCTAAGCAGACGGCTTTTTATGAAAAGAGTAATCAAAAAAAGATTCGCTGTGTTAACGGAAATGAGCACGGATAGTGCAAATGCGGGGGACGTTTATTGGTTTCCTATCTCGCGGCTGTCGATTCAAAAAGTGTTCTTCACAGGTCACTGAAGCTGCCTGTTCCCACACTTTAGCTCATCATTCAACTCATTGTGTCAACTGTTTCTCTAAAAAAAGTCAAGCTGGCGTGCGACTGAGGCGCGCTGCCGTGAGTCCCGAAACCGAGCCTGGCATAAGCTCTCATCTCAGCATCATTGAGAATTTTGGCGTTCCCGCGTGCAATGCCAAGCAAACTACCGCTTTTACTGTTGCCACGAAAGAAAGACAAGCATGGACTTTTGCCAGGCTCGAGGGTAGAACTCCTTAGCACCATTGGGAGTGCGCAGTAGATCATTCTTGCAGTTTAGAATTTAGTACTCTCTATTCCGCCCTCCGAAATACGAAATAACTTGGTAAAGGCGCTTTGTGGATTGCTCAGATGCCGTTCGGCCATTCGAACCAACGATATGTACATATGTGTCGAGTGGTGCGCCGTAGGTCATTGAGATCGACTATGTGGACGAGTTGTCCGGATCAGAATACGTTATGTCGAGGCCTGGGACTTATAATTCAGTGTTCCGGCAGTGGCACACGAAACCCGATTCGCCGCGCCACTATACGCTACTTGGGAGAGGGCGTGATGTCGCCAGTGCGGGCGGAGTCAACTATGATCCTAAAAATCGGAAGTCGAACTAACACGAAAAAAAAACAACAAAAGTCAGAGCACATCTCATCCTCTTTGCCTCTGTCACATTCCCGGGATCGCGGAATCCTCCCCATGCGCAAAAAATGAGAGCTCAGTTCACGTCACAAACGTGAAAGATCAAAGATTTTAAAAGTGTGAAAGCGAGGTCAGAGGATGGGGGTTTGGCTTCCACTTTGCGTCCACCGCAGATCTGCGTCAAATGCTCCGTAACCGCGCGATTTTACACATACTACACGACGCTACTGTCACGACTGAATGGCTGAATTTTGAAGCGAGTGGATAGTAAACGAACATTTTCAGATATGGAGCAGTACAAAACAGAGCCTCTTTACTGAAGAGACTTCCGTCGAAATGAAATATGCTGAGGTCTCGCTTGAGGCTGAGAATGGTGAGCCTCCACCGAAATGTGCGAAAATAGAAACATCCGAGTCAAGGAGGTGAGTAAAGAGCTGTGAGACATACGACTGCAGAACTTACGAGTCTTCCTTAATTTCAGGATAGTTCCGATACTAAGCGACGAAGTTCGAGGCGAAACCGTACCATTGGCTGAGTTCTACGTAGTTCAGTTTGTTGAGAAGCAGAAAATCAGCCCATTCCTGAAAAAAGTCCCATTAGTATGCGAAGGATTCGACCACCTGAAACGAGTGGATAAAATTGGTCGAGTGCTGTTGCAACCCGCCACGAATTCGCTCTCAGAGAACCATCTTGCGGTCTTGCGAGAGCTCGAACTGGATGAATCTAATGTACAGGTAAGACTCTTTCGGAGCAGTTCGTCGACGGGGGGGGGCATTTTTGCACTTTTGCTACTTCCCATCGACGTGTGAGCCATCTAGAGGGCTATTTTATGAGCTTACAAGAGTTGACAGGTCTTGCCACGGTGACTTGACGAGCTCGCTCCGCCTCCACAAAAGCTCACAGGTTTCAAGAGTGAGACATGTAAACCGTAACTAGTGGAACAGCGAACGTGCAAAATTACCCCTCCCCCTCCCGTTGCCGAATGAGCCTGTTCTATACCAAAGAAAAACAACTTGCGGCTTTCACGAACTGAAGTATGGCAGAGAAGTTGAAAACAGTTATTTAGATCGTGAAAGTGCCAGCATCGAGGCCCCTTACAGCGCGTCAGTTCGGCTGGGCAAAGGAGTATTGGCCTACAACTTTTCATCCAGATAAGGTTTGTGTTGACTTGAGCGCTTATCTTTTATAAACATTGTGAATCTGGTGGGCGCGTTGCATGGGTAGGCTGTCCAATATGTTACCTGTCAATTCCCATGTTTGTGAGGTCACATAATACTCGAATGATGGTACGAGTTGCAAAAATGTTGGCAACTATTGTACGAGCTGCACGGATTGTACTTTGTTTCATCATGAGATGCTCGTGCTCAAAACCAGTTCTTTTGCAAGTTTTCGAGGTCCTAAGCACTATTTCGACTATGGTCTACAAAAAAAAACGGAGTTGGGCCGACAGGGTCCACAGTCCTCGTTCAGATTTGAGAAGATAGTGATGGCTCTTGGCGCTAGTCCCTTCAGGGGGGGGGGGGTGTATATCGAATGGCGCAGCTGTTACTCCGCTACTGGGACGCTATTGACCATAACTGCCACCGCCACCTCGCTGCTGTAGCCCTTCTTTTGCAGCAGACAACTCGTCCAGGTCGCTCTTCATCATGATTGACGTACTCAATTGTCCTAAATTGGCAAGACGCCAGTATGGATGCCGAATTACGCAGTGATGACTTAATTACGCATGCGTTTATGTTTCTCAGCCAATTTGCGGCTTCTTTCACCCTCCGCACCCTTCTTTCTCAGGGCTCCTTGGCTACTCAAAGGTGGTGTAATAAGTATTTTGGTGCAGAGCACCCAAGTCGTACAAAATCACGACAGACATTCTCTAATGCGAAGAACAACTAGGGCCATGAGATGAGAATTTCACCTACACCTGGGGCATTCTTTCTTGATTATAGCCAATTTATCAATGTTAAAGAGGTTTCAAGCGCTGCTGCCTGTTTAAGGAACTCGAAAACCTACTGCATGATACGTTTCTGTCCGATGAAGAGAAGACATCTGTGTATCGTTGGAGTGAGCTTGCGCTCGAAGTGGGATGTGTTGTCGTACAGGTGCGTTCACTATCTTTGAAAGATACATATTTCTTCTTTTTTTTGACGAACTGCCGCACTGCCATGCATTCACGCCGATTTTGGTGGTATCAAAAATTCAACCTACCGAAAGTTCAGGCAGCGTTCATAGTTCGCTGCTCTCTTCCAAAGAACAATACATTTTTTACGATTTTTTTTCAGCGATTCTCCTCAGGCGTTGAGAGTAGTAAAATTGTCGTTGTGTCCGTCACTATCTCTGTGTCGCTTATAACTGGACTCAGATTAGGAATCAGTTACGATCGGATCGGGATTCATCAACGATCGTTGAATCACACGTATCGTAGACTATGAACGCTGCCTACAAGAGTGGGTTCGATTTCCCGCTTTGGAATTTATTTGCAAGCGAGTATTGTGACAGTCTTAGCAGTAGAGTCATTATCCCAGTAAGCGAGAGGGCATGGACTGGAGCGCTGCGAAGGCAGCTTTTTCCACCAATTGCTGCAGACTCAAGACGGCATCATTGGTGGAAGGGAGCGCCCTAGCTGCGTTTCCAAGTATGGCGACTGTACCACTCTTTCCATGGGAAATGAGGCAGTGTAAGCTATAGTTACAGGACGGTGACGTGTTGGCAAGAGGCTCACGAACAGAGCGACTTCTCGGTCATCCTGTCATGGACATGGTGCAGAATCTAGCGAATTGTCAACGACGTGATGAGGATTACCTTGCGACTGGATGCGATGTGTATTTGAAGGATGAGCCATGTGCGATGTGTGCAATGGTACAGTTTCATTATTTTAAGCTCATAAATAGACAAGGGCGAGATATAGCGCTGGGAACAGCTTCCATTTGACACGTGTAGCTCGATTGAAACTAAAGACAACTAACAGACAAACTAATGTCCTCCAGAGCAACCTAGTTTTTCATCTCTTGATCGATTGGGGTGGGGGGGGGGTTGATTAAACATAATAGAAACAAAATCGTTCAAGACCAAACCGGCTCTCTCTCAACAACGTAGTCTATTTGCCTGAATATTCAAAAGTGTGCTACTCACTACAGTGTCCTCTGTTGGTTCGTTGACTGTCACCCGCATTCATCACGCTCCATTGGGGAACACAATGAGTGTAGGTCTCCGCCCATTCGATTGTCGCGGAATATGTATTTTCTAGCTTCTCTCAATATTGCCCTATAAGTCTGTTATAGAACATAAACGTTACTGTGACAAATACCGTTTTGAGGCTTTGGTTCATTGTCGAGCATCCCGTGTTTTCTACTGTAGGAATTCCAGAAACGGAGTTCTCGCACCAGGTTAGTGTTGATTTACTGCTTTATCAAGTGAGGCATTCTAAAACATGAACGATTGTAGGTGCAGAAGTGGTTCTGTTTGATGGTTCCAGTGCTTTTTTTTAGGTAAATGGCAGCTGCATCTTGAATCTGCCATTAATCATCATTACGGTGTCTTTCATGTGAAAATCACCGATGAAGACAATCAGTCTTCTGTTTGTGGAAAATAGTGGATATAAGATCTCAAAGGGTTTTCGGATTGGGAGGTCTTTTGGTGTTGCTTCAACGTCATTTTGCACAGTTTACAGTATACTACTAAGCGTTATCATTTTATAGTTTGTTATTACCGTTGTTACTGTTACTGTTTTCACGAGAGATGCTACTAATCTGTAGAATCCCAACCATAAAATTCGTTCCATGGAATTCATGCCACCAAGAGATTCCAATATATCTTCCTTGTTTCGGTTTTCTTCGCCAAGTTGTTACAGTTGATATCGTCGCAATCAGTCGGGCGGTTTCAATAGGGAAGGGATGAGCCACCCGCGGTGTTTCCACCCTTGGCTGTTTTCCTCCTAGATCGATCATTGACCGATCACTATTGGTAGAGCAAGGCAACCAGAAGCGGGCTCATTCCACCTCTCCAAACACCGCCCCGACTAATTGCGGCGTTATCGGCTATATTCGATATTACTTACGGGTGTTTTTCCTCTCACTGTGACAGTTGTTTTTATTGAGGAGATGAGTGATAAATGATCAAAGATGATATCCTGAAACTGCCAGATACACAACTAAACAGCTCAACCTCAACTACAGCCTCGTTCGCTGCTGATGACGGGGCATGTCATGGGAAAGGGTTTGGCCCGACACCGGCCCGTGTTCTTTTATTTCGGCAAACGACGCGACTGTTCGTAGCAGTCGTTTTCCACCAAATGTTGTCGCTTAAGGCTTCAACAACTGGTGGAGAACGGGCTGGCGGCGCGCCAAACCCAGTCCCAGTGACACGCCCATAATCCACAGCATACCTTTTACTGTCCAAGATCTGCACTATTGGCTGCTACTTCAAATGGTGTTAGGTGGGGTTCAAATAGGGATTTGTAGGCGCTATTGGATCACCAGTATATAAAAAATGCGGAACTAAGTCCTCATCATTGCGGACCGGTGGGGCGTGTCAGTGCGGCTCCGTCTTCCGCGGTGATGAAGTCGTTCTGCACCAGTTGTTGAAGCGGGCAAGTGACATTACTGTATTATATCCTTCGTATTACTCGTTTTCTACCACTTTTTGTCGCATACGCGTTTCAACAAAAAAGGCTGAGAACGGCT